TTCATGTGATGATGAATTGAGAGGGGAATATGTGAATATACGAGTAGTGAAGTAAGCGGCAGAGAAACTTACCTGACTCGGAGATGTCAAATGCGCATGATTTTGCGGGGCGGCAGCTTGCATGCCATACTTCCTTGGTTGGCCAGAATCGTCGGGTTCGCTGTCGGAGATGACAATGGTGTCATCTGCCTTGCGCTTCTTCGTTGCGTGTGGCTGAGTATCGGTTCCAACGATGGCTGAACTGGCAGAAGTGGCGTCACTGACATTGGCAGTAGCAGGATGAGGAGCGTGAGGCAGTGGCGTGACAAGGGCTGGAATATGAGGTGAAGACTCAAATACAGGTGCCTCCGGCATAGAAAGGAGTTGTGGGTCAATATCAAATTCTTCGAGGATTTCAGCCCTCGTCGACCGCGAGGCCATAGTGTAAGATTGATTAATACAAGTCTGGGCACGTAGAAGACTATGTATGCATACTGGCCTAGGACTCTCAGTCCCAGCAAAGTATGCATACAGGCTTCTTTGTATTGATACTAGCACTCGGACACAATGTTGAACTTCTCTGGCTGATCCTCATTCCCAATTTGGGTACTCCCATCTATTCTTGCTGGCTATATTAATCCCTCGACTAAAAATAGGTTGTCTGCATCAGTTTCCCTCGATTCGTACTGCTTCTCCACCTATAAATATGTCCACCCCTCCTTCTTGGTCTTGCTGGCTTATATTAATACATCAGTTCCAGCCTATAATCTCCACCCCCTTAAATCTCGCACCCTTCCGGACCCTTCCGTTTCTTACCGGTTCTTGCCAACTTGTTCCTGACAGATCCTGGCCCAGGCCCCTCAGAGCCACGTGACAACTTCGTGATGAATTTTTGACCGTCCCTTCAAGGCCACGTGACAAGTTCACCGATGAATTTGGACTAAGTCCCTGCAAGCCACGTCACAAGTTCACGATGAATTTTGACTACGTCCCTGCAAGCCACGTGACGAGTTCACGATGAATTCGACTAAGTCCCTGCATAATAGTATGAGACATATAACTGTTTACTGCGGTACCTAAGCTTGTGACACGATGCTGAAATGTTGACTACATGGTATTGAAAAAATTGACATGAGACATGATTGGGGTTTGCTAACGAGACGCTCAATTTTCCTGTGTTCGACGAAGATCATTGTGTCAAAAAATAGTGTATTTTGAGTAAAGACGGCGAATACATGTAATACGACAAGAACAATATACGATATACAGCAAACATTATGGCAAGAACACAACATCCTCAGTGAACCAATTTGCGTGACCTAGAACTAAAGTTCAAAACGGAAGTGAAAAAAATTGTTAAACTTACTTTCGTGGCTTTCTTCCCATACCGTCAGCACCAATATTATTAGCTTCTGTTGTGCGAGTGGATGGAACATGAACTCGGCTGCTACGGCGCACTTGGTTATTGACGATATCATCTAGAGGCTGCAAATTCTCCATGGGCTCGTTGTCAGCAGGTAGCTGGCTACTTGGTGCAGCTGTGGTGGCCCGCAGGAGGAGTCTCAGCAGGACGGTAATGAACTTGGGTGAGTCGCTGGTGCCGCAGGAGGCACAGAAGGGGAATCACGATGGTGAGTCGCCGGCACTGGGGGAGGGGAATCACGATGGTGAGTCGCTGGCGCCGCAGGAGGCACAGAAGGGGGAGGGGATCACGAAGGTGAGTCGCCGGCGCCGCAGGAGGGACAGAAGGGGGAGGGGAATCACGATATAGACCATGGGAAGGTCCAGTTCCTCCTCTGAATGGACGGGGCCGAGGTACCTTCTTATAGTTACCAGAGGGGCTCTTCGACTTGATACGAGCTAAAGCACTGCGGAAGCGCGGGGGTGAAAGTATAGACTGAGATGGTTGTGAATTGTCAGCAGACGGAAATGGAGGTAAGATAAGTTGGGGACCCTCGGTCCCATCTGCAGTAGATTGGAGTAGGTATGATTGTGAATCCGCCAGGAAGTTGTCAAGGGCCTCGTTTGACAGATCGAAAAGAATTGCCGGGAATGAGATTGAGTGAATCGTCGGGAATGGGATCGAATGAGAACTCGCCCGACATATTGAGTGAATCGTCAATAGGATGAAATGAGAAAGGGTTAATGGGGGGGTTAATGGGGAAGAATTGATCGGCCGAGGCATGCGGCACTTCTTGAGTTGCAGTCGGAGCAGCGAGGAAGTCGGTGGTGTCCATAAGGGGCACGATAGTATCAATACTCGATGGAGACGGCACGATAGTATCCATACTGACGGAGACGAGTATGGGGACGGAGGTGTCCATAAGGGGCACAATAGTATCCATACTCGAGGGAGACGAGTCTGGGATGCGCTCCTGGACAGAAGCAGCTGTGGAGAAACACAGAAACGCCATCAGCATTACCTAACCAGAAGACCACACCGACTTACCAAAAGCGCCCTTCAAAAAAGTAGTGAATGGTTCGATGATTCGTGCGTGATGGTCAGGCAGTGTATCACGAAAGTTGAGGCCGGTAGTACCCTTCCCATGGTGGAAACTATAGAGCAACATGAAATCAAGGTAACCGAGCACAAAAACAAACACTAACCTGTAAACGCGAAGATCCCCACCTACACGAGGGTCTGGTCCCCCAATGTACACGCTCCCGTTCCAACCTGTCGTGTCGTGGATGGACTGTAGAAGTTGTCCGATCAATCCACCCAGCCCTTCAATGCATCTGTGGGAATGTTAGTATTGCTGCAACATGTTCAGAGACATGTACACACTGCAACTTTGCAGAGTCACTGGGATTAGACAGTGCCTCCATCTCAGCCTTGGCCTTCTGCACACGTAGCTCACATTCAGCTTTCGCCTCCCGCTCCATCTTCAGCACATATTCTTGTCCCCGCGCAGTCATGGCCTTCGTTGCTTCTGTACGAAGCAAGGCCATGCGATTTTGTTGAGTGCATGATGCTATCTTAGATGAGATCTCATCCTTGACGGCGTTGTTGTCCTTGTACTCGGTTTGAATAAAATATTCCACAGCAGACGGCCCACGAGTGCGAGCAGTGGTGGAGCCCATGAGCTTCGTAATCGTTTTAGTGAATTGTGTCACTCGTCCTTGCGCAGCGGCGGAGTTGCTGCGGTAGAAGTAAGAACGGAGTTTCTGTAACACGTATAAGCAACCGTAATACAACAGGTGTGTGGCCAACTTACGGAACGACGTTTTTGGAGATGTAATCCTAATTCAACTGTCTGCTCTTCTGATAACTGGGATTTGGTAAGTGGAACACCAGTCTCGCTGTCTTTGAAATGCACAGCAGCTTCAGGCCAGTTCTCGAACCATTCACGGGATGTATTCGCAAAGAAGACAGTTGTTTCGCCCTGCAGCTGGCTGAGGCGGAATGCATCCACCTTAGTTTTCAGCCAAGCCGACTGTTCGCGTGTCATCCATGATACACCGGGCATCTACGAACCGGCGGCATTAGGCTAAAATGAATTTCATCACCTATGTCACATACCTTATGTTTTTTTTAGATGAGTCTCCGCACTGGCGTTGCAGGCGTGTACTGATACTCCATTTGGGACGGACTTTGAATCTTATTTTTGCATTATCCAATGAGAAGGGCTGATCGCACGGAGTTACCCGACAAAAGCTATTATAAGTGGCTGGAATTTCAACAATCTCACATCACATCACTGCTATTACCCCCGCTTGACCTCGTTTGTCTGATACCCCCGTTTGACCTCGTTTGTCCAAAATGAAAGTTTTTCCCAGCCTCGTCAAGGAACAAACTTTCACTTTATCCGAACTAGCAAGCGCCATAGAGCTTGTGCGGGACCAGCGTGGTGAGTGCGAGCCTCTGGCTAATTCTCACTGGGCTGAATGGTTATTCTAGCCATAATCGAGGCGCACGCTAACCACAGTCTACCCGAATTTACGGATGACCTTGTGCTTGGCCACTGCCCTGCATGCGTTTTTCGTGCACACAAGCACTCGTGCTATGTTTGTGGTACAATTGGTGAGCATTTAATATTTCCGTACTCAACGTTCAACCTTACAACCCACGGCAGATGACGAGGGTGGTGAGTCACAGAGTACCCACACAAATGACGAGGGTGGTGAGTCACAGAGTGACACATCGACAACTGACAGCATTGACACTGCTCCCGCCCTCGTCGGCAACACTGTCGCTGCTCCCACCATCAATGCAGCACCCGTTGTCGTCAACACTGTCGCTGCTCCCACCATCAATGCAGCACCTGTTGTCGTCAACGCCGCTGCTGCTCCCACCATTCGTGCAGCTGCTCCCACCCTCGTCAACACTGCTGTCCCCACTACTCAACACTCAAGCACCTCTGCATCGGTGCGCTGGTATGTCATTACTGTTGGACGTGAAACTGGGGGTCTTTCAAGGATGGTACGTACTCCGAGATCTGCTGGTCTATTATTTTATTCAATTTTCTCCCAGGCACAATGTGCATGTGCATGTCGTCGGTGTTCCAGGAGCTTGTTTTGCGCGTTACTCCTCTCTAGCTGTCGCCCAGGCTGCCTATGGACAGGCTTTGGATGATGGCGCAGTCAATCAGGTGCCGCTCTAGGAGTAAAATACTGTACTGTACATTTATGTGTGGCCTGTCCCGTTTCTTGCATCCAATATGATGATACCAATTGCTGTCATTTGTGTGTGTGTGTGTGATATATATTCGACGATAACCTATTCATGCTCAACAGCGTGGTCTAGAGTACATTGTATGATAATTGGCGGCTGTGACCATACCGTAAAGTCTATATACCAGTAAGTGTATTGCTGTCGTTTATTTTTATATTTGACGGTAACGATGATTCATGCTCAACGGCATGGTCTAGAGTACATTGTGTGATAACTGTCCCGAAGTGGTGGCTGTGACCGTACCAAAAGTCTATATACCAGTAAGTGTTTATGTCTGTTAACGTACCCTTACTAAGGGCTCTTTGTATCATACCACTCATCTGTCTCGTTCGATGGGACGCCGTCGTAAGTCTTCACCGGACCGCCAAGAAGCGCGCAAACAGTCTAAGAAAATACATTATTTGCGGTAAGTGTTTCTCGCATTCTGAACCAGAAGTGGACATAGGGATTTGACATGATATTAGACATGTCGGGTATGAACGATCCAAAGCACGACGGAGATCAAGGCAGGCAAAGGGAGCCAATAAGGTATATTCAAATACTACATCTACTGACATTCAGTACTAATTTGTGCAGGCCACACTAGACGCCTATGAGGCAATGGAAGAAATATGGAGCAGGACTTATACCGGTGGTAGCCGGAACCACAATGGGTGCCAGCCTCGAGTTATCGCCGTTCTTCAAGAAGTAGATGTGCGAGGGTGGAGTGCTGTTAGACCAGCTGTTTTGGAAGGAATATCAGAGGCCCGGGTTTTACTGAAGGACGCAGAAGACCTGGTCACAGCGGTCAAAAGTTTAGATGGTCCATGTACTCCACATCTCCAAACTGAATGTTCCCGTCTTATTTCTACAGCACGTCTCTACCTTGCCGCCGAAGAGGAGATCGTGTCCCTCATGGATGAAGACGAGGGAGCTCTTGATGCCGCACTGCTTAGCGATGGACTAGTATGGCAGCGTATAGAAAAGTAGTGTCACGTGACCAGATAAACAATGTTGAATGCAGTACGTACGTCGTATAGCATGTGCCCACATTATTTTCATTGCCATGGTCAAAAACTCTCGGGTACGAAAGTTGGACAAGTATCAGCGGCAGTTCATGGAGGAGAATCAAGCTGCACACAAGCGACGACGCAATGAAGAAACTCAATCGCATGTTCCCGAGGGAAGTGCATATCATGCACATACCTCTGTAGACGTTACGATCAGGAGCCGTCCCACCATCAAAACTACATACTTTCAAAATGCCAACACGTCTCCGGCTGTACCCACTAGTTCCTCGATCACAAACCTTGGGAGTTCCGAGACTTTTGATTTCGCTTCTTATTTCAATGATGATCAACCATACCTCGATTATCTTGCCGACACCAGCACAGATACCACACCAGTGAAAGCCAAACGGCCACGCGCACCGGCGGTGTGTGCTATTTCTATATCTTGATTGCAATTTTTTTCATTCGGTGATATTCAGGATGACCCTCAAAAACAATGGCTGCAGGAGCGTGATAATTTTCTCAAGGAATTCATTCGGCTAGAAGGGCGTGGAGATGATGCATGGCACATGCGTTGTCACGGGGAGCAGACATGCGTAAACCAGCCGTCTATTCGGTGTACTGATTGTGAAGGATTACAGTTGTACTGTCAGTCTTGTGTCATCTCACTGCACCGCGCAGCGCCTTTGCACCGTGTTGAAGTATGTATTCACATCGCTTTGCGTTCTTTAAAATTGACTATACTATCAGATTTGGACTGGGAAATACTTCCAGCGCAGCAACTTAAGAGACTTAGGGCTACGTGTCCAACTCGGACATCCAACTGGTGTCCGTTGCTGCAATCCCTCTCCTGCTTTCCAGGACGACTTCGTCGTCCTTGACATCACCGGTGTCCACAGTATCATGCTAGATTTCTGCAACTGCGAGACAGCGCAAACGCACACTACCCAACTCCTGCGCACTCGCTGGTACCCAGCAACCGTCACAGATCCCCGAACTGCTGCAACATTCCGGGTCCTTGATCACTTCCAAATGTACACTTTTGAGTCGAAAGGATCCGCGTTTGAATATTACCAAGCATTGGCACGTCTAACGGATAATACTAGGAGGTACCAGACTAAGGTAGGCGCATTGACTATTGAATCATTTTTCACAGCTAACGTGAGTATAAGGACCGTTATGAAGCTTTCCTACGGATGAGTCGGCAATTTCGACATATACTATCTCTTAAACGTGCCGGGCGTGGCCATGACCCTGGTGGCGCTCTCGGCACAACGGAAGGAGAACTCGCCGTACTGTGCCCGGCTTGTCCGCAACCTGGCAAAAACTTGCCTTTGGGTTGGGAGACCATTGAGGCCCAACACAAGTAAGTTTTTCTTTTTTTCATTGGGATATTTATGCTCAAGAAATGTAGATGGCTTTATGCTTTATTTCTGGCAATGGACGCTAACTTTCGCTTATGCCGCCGCAATAAGTCCTCTGAGCAGGCAGACCCTAGCCTTAGCCAAGGCTGGGCTTATTTCGTAGAACAAAGTGGATTCAAAGATGTTCTTGACGCTTATGCCAGCCAGGTACAAGAGGTGAGGTTGATATATGGTTTAGTGTATCATTCGCTGATATCGTGTTTAGAAAAGTTCTTGTGCCAGTCACAACGCCGTTAATCTTGCCGACACCAAGAATTCACGGGGACTGGCTGCCACAGGCGTCGGCGCCATCGTTTGTGCTCGTCATAACCTCACACGTCCGTCCTCAGTTGGAGATCTCCAAAAAGGAGAAAGGTACGCGTCTCTGATATCTTTGACGTCATCTAATCACACAGGACTTAGATATGTGAATATGGATTTCCTGTTCTTCTCGACTTTGCAACACTCTGGCGAGGTTCTCGTTCTCAATATCTCATATGATATTGCATGTCAATGGAGTAAGCATTTGTGGGAGCGGATGTCACGCTATCCGTCCCAGATCCATTTTTCGGGCGACTCGAAAATTTTAACATTCCTCATTCCCAAATTTCATCTGCCGGCGCATATTGCAGCATGTCAAACTTCGTATTCTCTTAACCTTATCAAAGGCATGGCGCGGACTGACGGTGAAGCCATTGAACGCGGATGGTCAAACATGAATCCTATCGCTACCAGCACGCGTGAAATGGGTCCAGGGTCAAGACGCGACATCTTGGATGACCACTTCGGCGACTGGAATTGGCGTAAAGTGTCCAACTTGGGTATGTATTACACATAGATTGTGCCTTCGTCTCTGACAGCTTAATAGGTCCTTCACTGCTCAAAAAACTCAAGGAGGCAATTCCAGAATGTTATCAGCATGCTGTAGATCTTCGGGACTTCGAGGAAGCTATCCCGTCTTCGAGTCTTAGTGCCTGGCGGAAGTTGGTAGAAGATTGGGAGGGTGATCGTTCAAAGCCGAACCCGTTTGAGATTAAAGTGTCAGGTATGTTTTCGCTTGTATGATATTTGCAATCTTTGACATGTACACTACAGTTGTCACCCAGGCGTCTGTCAGACTCGAGCTCTCTCAGCTTGAAGCCCAGCAGCTAAGACAAGGGATTGATGCCTCCCTCCACCCAGATGTCTCCCCTAGCATATTAATAGCTGTTGGGATCGACCTAGAGGCTTTACAGTATGTCTGTCTTTCGCACTGACAACAAGCTGGTCTTAACAAGTTGCTTTACCTCTCAGACGTCGGCTCGCAACGGACACTGCGAACATTGGAATCCACGCCACCAATAATCAACTGTCTGCTATGCAACAACGCATCAATGCACTGCGCCGTTGGATTGAACAGTGGATCCAAATCCAAATGCTATATATCCCCAGTGTTGCCAGACTTCGAGCGTACACCTCTGATACTGAGGATACCACCCTTGAGGAGCCTGTTCACACCATCAAACTGTGGATGCCGTCTGCAGTGGTGAAAGCGGGCATGTCTTGCGATGTGAATCTGTGTAACATCGAGTGGAAGTTATGCTGTGCCCAGGCGCATGATGGTCTCCAGGAGCTCCGGCAACACCTACGACTCAAACACCATCTCACTGGGTTCAAGAAGAACTGGTTAACTGGCCAACGAGTGCACACAAGATCCCATGCCGTCATTGATACTGTCCAGGCGAAAATAGACGCTGCCGCAACAAAGTATCGCACGGCATGGAGGGCACTTGATGACTTAGCCGATGCACTCCTACGCCTTGATTGGGAAATTGAATTCCCAAAGCTCGAAGATGAGCATATTTGTGGTATGACTGAGGCGCAGGCGGGAGGTTTGGTGTCAGAAGGTCGAAGATTCGTAGCCGTGTCTTGGATTTGGAAGCAGCGCCATGGAGTGGGTGAGGAAGAACTTTCTGAAGGTGAGAGTCGCCATGTATTTGATGTAGTTTTTTCTAATCGGAAACAGCAATGTGCGTTGAGTGGTGCAAGGCACGAGCTCATGCCAACAGGTGGGCAGAGGAGGTCGAACTTGTGCAGGAGGAGATGCGACGTGTATTAGCGTTCTTTGAGTGGAATGCAGGTTGGTGGGAAGAACGCGCAACCTCCAGAATATATGATGGAGCAATGGAGCACGAGGGAGCAGTTGCATATGCCTTGCGACAGGCTAAGATCCGCCGGTCCATGCGGAACGACTGTCTTTTCCTGTGGGATGTGGTTCCCAGCCTTCTCTCTGTTCAAACCACTACAGAACGAGCACCTGTACCCGCCACGACTACTGCATAGCAAACCGGAGGCTATTTGTTTGTTTTTTGGCGCTTTTTTCTCATTTTCCTGCATTTCATCCTGCCATGCATCCCTTGTTACTAGACTACTACGTGCAATACATCGTCTTTCATTGTGATTACAGACGAGTGACCACACTAACCGCACGCCTACACCCGCTATGATATTTTTGCCATCTCTCTCTTTATTATGCCTATTTGGGATATGTCGCGAGCGGGAGTATGCAGTGGTTCGAACTTCGAACTGATTTGATTCAAATCATAGAAGGAGGGATTCAGAAGGCACCTAGTGAATTTGATGGTCCGGGGTTGGCACATAAAAATAGCAGTGCGGGGAAGGGATCTAAGATTACTATCATTGTTATACTACTTATTTGGTCAATATATACCTATTAGAACTGTCCGAAGAAGCACACTATAGCTCCCAAGGTGTGTATGCATACAAGGAAAGGCTCCCAAGGTGTGTATGCATACAGGGAGGCGTTGTAAATAGCTGGTGAGTATGGATACATACCCTTCTACAGTGGCCAGGGGTGTATTAATACCCCTGCCAGGGTGTGGTGCAAGCTGTGTCGCGCATTATTCCCTGCTGCCTCGGATGTGAGACAATTTGCTTACCTGCTGAGTATGTTATTTACAAACAGCATGTCACTTTTTGTCAAGTCCAAAAACTCGCTCGAGTCCGAGCCAGCCTGTTTGACCACAAGCACACTCCCTACCGTGCTTCCTCAGGCTCCTGTCAAACTTGACAATCACTTTAACACTCTGTTAGTGGTTGACGAGCTGTCTGCGTTCTCCAAGTACACTGTGAACCGGCTGTTGAGCTTGGAAGGTGTCGCCGGCTGGCTGTGCAGTCATTCAGAAAATGTTGTCTCACCCAGTAATTGACATATAGGTCATCTAGTGTTGGCGGTCTGCAGGCACCATCCCGCACAGGAATTGGTATAACGAAAGGTCGGCTGCAAGCTGCACCATAAAATAAACCTTTCACTATCTGACGAAAATGCTGTCTGTAATGTAGTTTACTCACTGGTTTTCACCCCCGTATTTCTCGTGGCAGGAACTTAATGTCCGCTCCTTCGAATGAAGCATCAGTATTATGTCTGGTGCGTTTTGGTAGCTGTGGCCACTCCACTCACTGTCACTTGCACCTTCGCCTTCGGAGTTCGTGCTCATGATGTCAACACGGTAAGCACACCTGCTGTTCGTGCAATAGGAGTTCAGTCGCGACTCGCAAGAGAGAGCAAGTAGACAAGACCCTGAAAATGTTGACTCGACTGAGCTTAAAACAACAACTTGAATATCTCAGACAACTTCAGACGCTCTCCCTCGAAATGTGCCAAAATGCAATCAACATAAGTGTTTTTTCTTGCGTGGACAGGGGGTTTTAAGCTTGGAAACAATGGGTGCCAGCAAGGGAATGCTCAAAGACTGCAGACGAGCATGAGCAACATCTAACAAATGAAACAGCCAGGTAGGGTTTTCCACTGTTTTCCAACTGTCTGGAAAGCACCATGTCATGGACTGAGTGGGGACTCTGTGCATGGAATTGTTGCGACAATGAGCAATGAGAGTAAGACACGCGCTCAAAATAATTGACGGTGAAGTGCAACGAGATCTTATGGTCAGACACAATTACAAATGCACCATCATAAGATACACGCGCCACAAACCGGACAGAGGAGCAGGTACAAACACGGTAATGTTCTTTCAACGAGCGAACAAGCCACGAGCAAAAGAAGGTAGGCGCAGAGAAGGAAGAGATGTGGTATTGGGGAAAGTAAAGTGCATCGTAGTAAATGGGGTATTGGGTTGTTAGGTGGGATTGGTTAAAGGGGGGGCAGTCGCGGATATCAATCACGCGAGGTGCTCGTGAGGGCTCTGTCTGCAAAAACAGCCTGAGTCGCAATAAGAAAAGCGAACACGTGAATTCAAAAGAAAACTTACATGACGGTGAGATATCGGTTGGTTTGAGGACGATGTCACTGAGATAAGGTGAAAACGAAAGGATAGTGCCGAAATCTGTAGATGATATTTTGGACTTCAAACAAGCCAATGGAATAAACATGTTCGAGGTGGTTGGGACTCAGCATCAATTTTGTGTTCAAGTAGTACAATTTCGCTGTAGTGTCATGAATGATTGAATCGATTTTGAGTGGTGATCACACTGGAAGCCGAAGTGCTCGTCTATGTTTGGAAAAGGATGGAGTCGGGGACTGGCGCCCGCGCCGTTATGATTTGAAACAACAGATGCGTGTTTGTTTCGACATGGACTGGTTAAAGAACATGCTTCTGACGTGGTGATCAGTAATACCAACGGCTTCGCATGTGAGCCCTGGAAAGATACATGTATTATCACTCCACAGCACGCGCCGCACGCCGTGCGTACTCAGTGGAATGAGTGCGTGCTCAGGAAACACGGCAAGCGTGATGAGCTCCCCGACGGTTTAATAAACACTATGAGTATTGGGCCTGTTCTCGTGTGTCAGGATATTTACTGTGATCCACTGTCTGCGGGCTTACAGTTACCACTCAGATCACACGTCAAGAATCAAGATGCACACAGTGCAAATATTCAGAGGGTGTCACAGCCTGAGAGCTCGAGTACGTATATGTAACAGAAAGTTAAGGAAAGTGTACCCGGGTCGGTGATATGCAAATGTACAATATTCCAGTGTCGAGATCCCCAGTAACCCTGGCATACCGGGTAAGTACCACTGTCCATCGAAATATAAATAATACAATATACAACATCCGTCAACTGTGACAGAATGAGGTGAATGTCGCGAACGAAGAGTGGTGGGATGACCAGCGCAACCTGGTTATTGACGGGAGGAGAATGATGATATACAGTGATAATGACGCGGGTGCGGCAGATGATATGCTGTGATCAAAGACATATAATTTCTAACGGCAGACTCAGTCGTGGACACCAAGGAGGGGAGAAAAAAACATACCAGGCGCAATGGCTAATCATGCGATGACGCAGTAGCAGTTGGCATTGCCGTGGTGCTCCTGGTCAACTGGTACTTGTGCTTGCGTCTCTTCAGAAGAGACGGGTGCCAAGGAGAAGGCAGCAAGCGTGAAGAACGAGTCCATGTCTTAAAGGAAGAGTCGAAGAATAACTCGAAGTTGAAGATACTTGTAGAGTTCAGGAAGCTCTGATAGCTTTCAAGGGGATTCGTTTTGATGGAGAACCCACTTCTCAGCTCTCGAGTATTTATCCGTTGCCAACAGGCATGATTACTGGCAAATTTGAAGGAATCGGGAAACTAACAATGTTCCTCGCCGAACATAGATTGAGCCACGGATATGAAGTGGGTGTAAGGACCACACTATTGTCCATGAAACACGATAGGCCTGGTGCCGTGAGCAGAGCAAGTCATATCAACGCGCCTCGCTGGTATGCACAAAAAGACTGGAACGTCCGATTATGTAAGCTAGAAAGTAGTTAGCCAATCAAATTTGTTCATCATTTATTAAGATAGACCTCGTTCATACACCGGTTCATCACGTGACCTAGTGTGACATTCCAATGAATCTGCTGCATATAACTCGTCGTACACAAAGTGTGAGCGAAATCTGTTCCAAGATTATGTGTGGACAGTCTGTAGCAAGCTGGACATGTATTTTTATGATTTAATGTAAGAAACTGAAGGACGAGTAGGCATTATATTGTCAAAATGTCCCAAGTGAGCACCACCAACATGACAGATGCGCTAGATTAGTGACAGACACGCTAACTCGAAATGAGAAGCAAAAAATTGAACTACAGTCTATCTACCTCACTATGCCACGAGGCCTTCAAACATAGCAAACTTTGCTGGTGCCACTCATCAAAAACGGCAAAAGTTCAATGACGAAAATGTAATGGCCATCGTGTACTTCCAGAGACCATTATGGCTAAAATTAACTTGATCAGTGGCACATATACTTAATACCTCATGTTGAATTTAATTATTAATTCTCGAACTTGAACGGCTGTTGAACGTTGTGTTGAACATCATCGAAATTGTTGAAATCAAACGGCCACCCTTCAATTGTTTATCTCCCTCGCGTCTAAGTCCGAGTCACTGATACAGTCACATCAGTCACAAATGGGTCACAATGGTGAATTTGCTACAAAAATGCCTACTCCTCCTTCAATTCACCGAAAATAAGGATTCTGAGTAGACCACTTTTATATTGTAGTACATCCCCACAAGATCTTGGAACAGATTTAGCTAATTCTAAGTTTAAAAAGAGTAACGAGCCAAAATCATGTATTCTATCCTCAAATCACGTGATGAACCGGTGTATGAATGAGGTCTATCTTAGCATGAGAGTACTTGGCATTCTTATTGTTCGGTAGTTCCGGGTTCCCTTGGAATCGACGAGCAGTCGGCGAAGTTCGCTGGGAAAGTGGTTAACAATTACACAACTGTTATGAATTGGGAACGGTCCTGAGAGGAAACAAGTCGCGAGGAACAGGCAATTAATGAAGCAATTGTGACATGCGGCAGTTCTTTTGTCTCTTGTTGTCAAGACTCTAGAGTGCAGGACACTGTAATTGTTTCGGGGCCAAGTCGGTGGGCACAATCGCCGGAAACACATTCTATCCCATATGGTGATTAAGTAACTCGAGCACCCTCTTAGGTCCTAAATGAAGCCAGTGTAGGTAGAAAAGCAGGCCTCCAATACAGATATGTTATTAGTGTCGTCATCCGGAAAAAAGGCTACCACGGGTCTGGACTCTGGAAACAATAACAGGAATTAGCGCTTAAGGTAGTATTGCGTACATTTATAATAAGACAAGAGCGCAGTGCACCATCTTTTGATCGCCAGTGGCCATCATCGCCAAACTGCATTGACAAAACGGACCATCTGCTCAGAATGAATCAGTGAAATGAAGGCTACAATACATGAGTTAACAATCACCTTGGGACTAGTATATTCGTCATCAGTCGGAGGCCCATCGGTGTTGGATATATTTGGTTTCCTTGCCATGCTCGCCCTTGTATC